TGGGGCAGGAGGCAGTTGGTATGGAGAGATGGGATGGGCATGAATGAGAGGGGGGGGGGAGATGGTGCGTCAATGCAGAGGCCGACTAAAGAGTGATTGGAGGGGTCGCAATGCACTATGATGCGGCGCAGCGTGGTGTTGATGGTGCACTTGCTGAGACATAAGGGTTTGTGGAAGCAGATGGATCTGGGGGTGATGGGGGCATAGAGGGGCAGAAGGATGGGGACACAGATGGACTACAGCACGTCCCCACCCAAGCTGGGTGAGGTAGAAGCAGATGAAGGGAGATGAAGGTAGATGAAGGGAGATGAAGGGAGATGAAGGGAGATGAAAGGAGATGAAGGGAGATGAAGGAGATGGAAGGAGATGAAGGGAGATGAAGGGAGATGAAAGGAGATGAAGGGAGATGAAGGGAGATGAAGGGAGATGCAGGGAGATGAAGGGAGATGCTGGGAGATGCAGCAGTCAGGTACGGTCTGCGGTAGCAAAGGAGATGTGAGGCGCGAAGGACCAGGCCCAAGGGGGTGGTTGAGGAGGAGGGGGGTGGGCAAACAATAACTCCAGCCATTGCCCAACCACCCTCTTGTCTGTGAGCCACGGAGGTAGGGGAGGGGGCGGGGGGTTTCTTGGGGAAAATCGACAGTCGCGTTGGACCGTAACTTGATGTCGGGATGCAAGCATCAGTCCAACCAGTTGGTACTGCCGTGCAGAGAACCCAATTGAAGCCATTATCCCCCCAACATCTCACTCTCACCGCCACTCTCCCACCACCATCTCACTCCCAATCTTCCCTCTAGGAAGCCAGGCTGCAGGCAATACGTGCTGCGGTCAAACGCAGAGTCTTGCAACAAGGGAGAATTTACAACAACCCAATTGGGGCAGGCATTTTGGGTTGTGCGCCCCTTCACAAAATGTAAAGAATCGTACCATTCCTGGCATTAGTAAATTACGTAGATGCACTGCACTTGCTAGGTTCGTTCGTAAGTGTTGTAGCACCTGAATAATTTCTCGCGATAGTTGAAAGTGGCAATTGAACTTGTAGTATTTGTGGAGATTTATTGGATTTAGTTTATAATTTACCCTATAACTTGGTTCATCACGTTGAGCAATCGATAAGGTTGTGTAATATACTTCTGTAAGGTTACTTCAGCGAGGATTAGCTGGTTCGGGGTGCTCGGGTCAGCTGGTTCGGCCTAAAGCTCGCCCCGAACCACTTCCGACTCGCCACTGCACCTTTTCCGACACTTCTGAACCTAGCTACCCCCTGGTTCTCACCTAGCTCGACTCTGCCTTTATAATCTGGTGTTGAACATTCACTGGACAATTAGGGTGTGTCACCTCGGGTGGTAACCAGCTGTTTGAATTTCGAATTTATGGGGGTTGACTGTGGTACAGTACATTTCGAAAAAAAAATCAGTTTGGTTTAGTACGGGGCTTGTTTGAACAAGCCCCTTTGAACGTCCGAGGTGACACGCCCTTTGGGCGGGTCAAACTTTGCACATGTACGGTTAATTTTCAGCTCAGTTACCAGAATTAAGCATGTAACAGAACTTTAAACGTACGAAATCCGTTTGACGCGAGACTGTACATAAATGAGCTCATTTCGGAAAAGTGTCCCGAGACATGCGGAACACATCCGAAGGTTCGCCTCCCAACTCGCTTCCCGTCAAAGTCGTCAAACAGTAACGCCCAAGTTTCGCCAAAAACGTTTCGCCATAACATTACTCCCTTCACCTCAGATGCGAAAATCCTCGCAACATTTGGTAACTCTCCTTCCCAGCAATGTACCTCGCAACGTTCATGTACCTTGTCAAAAGTCCGCACTGTATACTCCGAACTGGACAGGAAACGTTTGGAGTACGCCCTGAAGTACAGTCAAATTTGACCAGTGTGTTGACGTAAATTTTACGAAAAAAACGGGAGTGTGCAAAGTTGGACCCGCCCTTAGTAGCGTTTCCCAGCTTCCTAATTTTAGCCCACGTCAGTTCATTTGTGAAATACGCTCAATTGTGTCAGGCCACCATTTGGCTTGGCTCGAGTCGCGGGAGGACCCGCACTTAGGAGGAAGCGAGAACAGGAAGAGCAAATGTGGTGCGTCATGTGGTGGTCTGATCAGATAGCTATCGCGTCGAAGCGACAGACATGCCACGAAAGAGCGACGGACGGCGACGAAACAACGAAAGTCAACGGAGAAAAAGTAGACCATAGGCGACGAGCGATGGAGAGTACACGACGAAAGTGATAGTAGGCGGCGAGCGAGCGATAGTAGGCGACGAACGAAGGACAGCAGGCGACGAGCGAGGGATAGTTGGCGACGAGCGAGTGACATTAGGCGAGCGAGTGACATCAGGCGACGAGCGAGGGACAGTAGGCGACAAGCGAGTGACATTAGGCGACGAGCGAGTGACATCAGGCGATGAGCGAGTAACATTAGGCGACGAGCGAGTGACATTAGGCGACGAGCGGGTGACGTTAGGGGACGGACGAGTGACATTAGGCGACGAGCGAGCGATAGTAGGCGACGAACGGGGGACAGCAGGCGACGAGCGAGGGACAGTTGGCGACGAGCGAGTGACATTAGGCGAGCGAGTGACATCAGGCGACGAGCGAGGGACAGTAGGCGACAAGCGAGCGACATTAGGCGACGAGCGAGTGACATCAGGCGATGAGCGAGTAACATTAGGCGACGAGCGAGTGACATTAGGCGACGAGCGGGTGACGTTAGGGGACGGACGAGTGACATTAGGCGACGAGCGAGCGATAGTAGGCGACGAACGGGGGACAGCAGGCGACGAGCGAGGGACAGTTGGCGACGAGCGAGTGACATTAGGCGAGCGAGTGACATCAGGCGACGAGCGAGGGACAGTAGGCGACGAGCGAGTGACATTAGGCGACGAGCGAGTGACATCAGGCGACGAGCGAGTGACGTTAGGGGACGGGCGAGTGACGTTAGGGGACAGGCGAGGGACTTTAGGCGACGAGCGAGCGATAGTAGGCGATAAGTGAGGGACCATGGGCGACGAGCGAGGGACCGTGGGCGACGAGCGAGTGACATTAGGCGACGAGCGAGTGACATTAAGCGACGAGTGAGTGACATTATGCGACGAGTGAGTGACGTAAGGTGACGAGCGAGTGACATCAGGCGACGAGCGAGTGACGTAAGGCGACGAGCGAGGGACCGTGGGCGGCGAGAGCGATACATTCCAATTCGCGATGGATGAGAGCCCGCGACATCAGAGGCGCGAAGATCAGCGGCAATGGCGCGTGGGGCAAGCACCGCTCACAGGCAGGACAGTCGTAGCGGCGGAAACAGCTACGTCGATGCGAACAGCGAAGGCTGAACCGGCGGCGGCGCGACGAGGCGGTGGAAGCCCGCGCCAGTTGCGCTCCGCCTGAATTATCTCCTCTCCAGCGCCGGCGCCACCACCGCTGCTACGCGCGAGCCCCTTCTGCCTCTTCCTTGAGAGCCCGCACACATTGTTGTGGGCGCTAGTGTGGGAGGGAGCGCAGATGGGGGCAGTAGCGACGGGTGGCCGTGTGGACGGGGAAGGAGAGGCAGAGCGGGGAGGGGAGGCACGGAGAGGGGAAGGGAATGGGGGGATGGGGCGCGCGTGGCTTTGTTTTGACGAAAACGAGGCTAGGGTTGGGAGAAGGCGGGGCAAGGGGCGGAGGAGGGGAGACGGGGCAGGCAGAGGGGTTGGGACGGGCGATGGAGGCGGAAGTGGGAAGAGCTTGTGCAAGGGGCGAGAGGGGGGTGCGAGGTAGGGCTGGTAAAGAGCTGCCTCCTGCAGACAACCCCGCAGCAATTGCCAAGCCCAGCCGCTAGGCTAGGGCTCGCAAGGATGCAGTTAGCGAGTCAGCTACTGACGAGGACAGCGGCAGCGCTGTTGAGAAAGCCGACCCCATTCGCCAACGCACCCGGAGCAGTGGTGGGGCTAAGGACAAGAAGAGCAAGAATACTAAAGGTGACGGAGACGCGGAGGAGGATTTAGCGGCTGCGGGGGTAAGGGGGGAGGGGGAGAGGAGGCGGAAAAGCAAGGCATTGAGTGAGAATGAGATTCGACTCGCGCAACTGCAGCAGGAGCTGACGTGGCAAGAGCAGCTGCGGTAGGAGCTGCCGCGGCAAGAGCAGCTGCGGCAGGACCGCTGCAAGCGCTACAAGCGCTGTAGGCAGCGCTAGAAGAGAGGCAACGCCTTGCCGCATTGCTGTAGGGGAAGGCGGAACCGGAGGAAACGGCAGCTGCGCCGGCTACGCGCACGCCAGAGGCGGGATCAAGGGGTGGCAGGTCGGTCTGTCCCCCAAAGCGAGCTGAAGCCAGATAAGCAGAATAGCAGCGACTGGTGGTCCGTGCAGTGTGAGTGCCCCTTCTCCCCCCCTCATTCTTCTGCAGTGTAACAATGTGTCCCATTCACGACCCCACACACCCTCCCCCTCCCCCCTCTACACCCTTTCTTATTCCACTCCCTCTTCCCTTCTTCCCCCAACCTCCCTTAGCTCATCCCCGTTCCCCATTTTCCCAGTGCCCCTTCCCCCCCCACATGTCGACCCCGTCTTGCTCCGCCCTCCTTGTCATCAGCCCCCACCCCTTAGCTGATGACAAAAGGGTCGGTGGGCGGACAGACTCCTTTCCCCTTTCCTCTCTGACTATTGCATCTCTTCCCTGCATTCTCTAACTTCCGCTGCCCGCAGTCGCGGTGGTGCTGAACTGGGTGATGGCGGACGGGCCAGTGGGCGGGGTTGGGGGCGGACGACAACAATGGGCTTTGCGGCCAGCATGGGCAGCGACGAGACGAGGACGCGAGGAAGCTGTTTGACGTGGGGCGCCTGCAGAAAGAACACATTACTTGTGGGGAGTGGGAGGCCAATGAGGTGAGAGAAGGGGAGGGCTAGCAGCGGTGCGTGTGACTGATGTGTGGACGGATTGATAGAAATGGACGAATTGATAGGAAGACGAACAACAACTAGAGGGGAAAGTGAAAATCTGGTCTTATAAAGGCACATGTTTGCATTGGGGTCGCTCACTCTTCCCACGTCCCTCACACCCACACACGTGCACATGCATGTATCTATGCTGCATGCTCTCATCCGTACTGACTCGTGTGCACTCACCACCCGCACCCCACCCACGTCCGTTCACCCCCACCGCGTGGGTCACTGTGCGTGAGTTGCCTCACGACTTCTAAATGCCACAGTGGCCCTGTTGCCTTGCGAAGGAATAACATGCAGGCGCATGCTTTCAAGAACACGACACCCCCCAATTCGGTGTGCCAAACTCCGCTGTACGCCATACTGCTTCGTCTGCTCCTCCCTCACCGCCCCTTTGCTGCCTCTTCATCCTCTTCCCCTCCACACACAGCGCCTCGCCACACAGGTGCCTCAACTCAGGCAAGTTGAGGCGGCAGGAGGCGAAGCTGGGGGCTGGAGATGGTGCGTGTGCGTGTTCTACAACCAGCAGAACATTGTGCTGCACGGGCGGCACGTCGTGTGTGTGGATGTGCGGGTCGTTCAACCCCTGGATGCACGCACCACACCGGCTGCTTCCTCCCTGTGCACATGCGCCCCGGAAGCAGTGCAGTGCAGTGCAGCGCATTGATTGAGCTGCTGCGCTATGGCCGTATGACCACTACTGGCGGAGCTGCTGGTTCTTATAGATACCCCTTCCTCCTCCCCACCATTCCCTGCTGTCTGTTTGTGTCTAGGTAAGCGAATGTAAGACCTGGAGTAACAGCGCCTCCAGCAGGGTTCATTCACCACAGGGCCTTGAGATTGAGCCGCCTCAACACCCCAGCTGTCTCTGTCAGGGTGAGTTGTTGTGAGCTTTCTAGAGGATCCCTCACGGTGCGTCTCCTGATAGCGACTCTCTCCTCTCTCTCCCTAGCGGTCACTGCAGTCAGCGCTGGGAAGATTCATTGCAACACTGCAGTTGGGGAAGAGGTACGTGCCTCTTCCTCCCTCCACATCCCTTCCCCCTGCTACCCTCTCCCATCCCCATTCTCTCCCCCCCTCGCACGGGAGCATAGAAGGGGGAAATGAAGAGGGGGAGGGGGATGGGGATGGAAATGGAGATGAAGATTGTGATTCCCATTCCCATCCCGCTCCCCCTTCATCCCCATCCCCCTCCCCATCCCTATCCCCCTTCCCCTCCATAGCCCCCTTCTTGTTCTCCCCTTTTTTTAACCCCTCACGTCTCCCTTTTCTCACAGGCAGCAATGTAGCGGCGGGTGCTGGCAGGGCTGAAAGAGGGGGGGGGCTATAAATTCCACATGTTTTTGCCCCTTTCTCACTTAACCCCCCACGCACAGGAAATTATGAGGGGGCATGTGCTAGCAGGGTTGAAAACACTGGTTGCTATGCTAAAGGAGATCCTCCCTCTCTCCTCCTCCTCCCACTCAACCCTCCAACACGCGCACGAGAGCAGGGAGCTATGAGGTTGCGTGTGCTGGCAGGGCTGAAGGAAGTGGGGCAGGTGGTGCGCAGTGGGAGGCCCACATGTGTGGTGCTGGCGCCGGTGCTTATTATGGAAGAGGTGCCTGGGAAAGGTGATAGGAGGGAGGGTTAAGTGAGGGTGGGGTAGGTGTGGGTGGGGATAAGGTAATGACGATGGTTATTGGCGCATGCGTGCTTATGGAGGGCCAGGTGTGTGGTTCTGGCGCCTAAGGTGGAGGTGTCTAGGGCAGGTGAGGGGAATGGTAAAGATTGTTTGGCTGTACGCAAGTGCGTAGTGCTGGCACATGCGTGGGAGAGTTGTTGGGGGCAGGTGAGAGGAAGCGGGCAGGGAGAGAGGAGGGCGGGGGTGATGATGTGAGACATTTCTTGTTATTCTAAAAAATTATTTACATGCATATTTATTAGGCGCCTAGAAACCTAGTGGGATCTCTGTCTTTTTGTTTTTTTTTGCAAGAAACGTATTCATGTGCACAGCATTCAATATGAAACCACCCCTATCCACCCTTCCCACTTCCCCCTTCCACCCTGCCACCAGGTGGACTTGACACGGCCCTCACATCCATCCTATCAAATGCCACCGCACGCAGCATGCCCATTTCCATATTCCAAGTATCCCTATCCAACCACCCACCCCATACTTGCCTCCCCATTCTCCCACTGCACGTAGCAACCCCCCCACCCAACCCCACCCGCCCCTCCTCCCTCTCCCCTCGCCCCCACAATGGCTCCCATGGCAGCATCCATCATCAGGCAGTCTTGACACTCCTCTTTCATCCATCCCGTGGTAGTGGCTCTCTCCAGACGCCGACTCGCCAAGGTGAGTGCAGGTGTTGACATGCCCTCTCACCATGAGCTCCCTCCCTCACACCCATGTCCTCTCCCTCACACCTACCCTCTCCATCCTCCCACACACACCCACCAGGTGGTCACACCCAGCGCTCTGGTGACTGCACTGCTGGTCCATACCCCCTTTCTCTGCTCCATGCCCCCCATCCCATCATCCTAAATGGCCCATCTTCCCCAGGTACGGCTACCAGGTGGTCGCACCTGAGCTGAGCGTTTTGGTTGGCGCACCGCTGGCCCCACAAACTCCACTTCCCCTTTTCCCATGTCGGCTGCTCTGCTAGCAGCACCGCTGGGTCAATCCCCTTTTCCTCCCTCCCACCTCTCCCCGTTGTCGTTCACTTTCTTCCCCCTCTGGCTCCTCTCCCCCCCTCACCCCACTTGCAGGTACGCCTGGCGGAAGGAAGCACCCACGTCTAGTGGCCACTGGAGCTCAACACACTGCTGACCACACTGCTGGCGAAGCTGCTGCGATTCCAAGTCAGGGGGTTTCATAAGAAACCCATTAAGGTGAGCCTGGGGTGGAATGGGCATGGGTTTTAAGTCGACTCGAACAAGATTGGGGGAGAATGGGCGGTTTCAAGTCAGGGCACTCTGAAAGACCCGCTCAGGGACCCCTTTCTTTCAGAATGAGCCCCCCCTTGAACTTCATTCCTTTTTCCCCCTTTTCTCTCCCATTCTCTCTTTCCATCCCCCTCCCCCCTCCCCATCTCCCCTCACCCTTTGCATCCTTCCTCTAACCCCCACATCCCCCTCCTCCAACCCCCAAATGTGAAAAGAATTGAACCATTAGTTTGATTAGAAAGTTGAACAAGCATACATAGGCTTGAGAAGTGAGAGGAGCAAGGGTTGGAGAAGAAAAGGTTGGAGAAGGAAGAAGGGGAGGTATAGTAGAGGGAGTGGACCACCCAATGGCCCATTGGGTAGAATTGGCAACACTTGGGGAAGTGTTGCCAACCCAATGGCCCATTTGTTTGGTTTGGCAACACTTGAGGGAGTGTTGCCAACGTGTAGCAAGTGGGTTGGGTTGGCAACTTCTTGGGAAGTTGCCAACCAGGGACCAAATGGTTGCAACTTGGGGGCTCCACCACAATTGGGTTGGATTGACACCCCAAGTGCAAGACTACACCCAATGTTGGGTGTAGTCCCAACCCAACTGTACACCGCACTTGGGGTACAGTCACAAACTTAGCATGCTAGAACATATGATTCTAACACCACACCCCTCTGTCTTCCCCCCCCCCCCACACCCCTCCAAAGAAGCGGCTGGCTGGTGCTGGTTTGGTTGAAGGAGGTGGGGCGGGTGGTGCGTGGCTAAAGGGGATCGGTTCTCTCTCCTCAAAAGGAGATCAACCCCTTCTCCACTCAAGGAGGTGGGGCGGGTGGTGCGTGGCTAAAGGGAATCCGTCCTCTCTCCTCAAAAGGAGATCCACCCCTTCTCCACTCAAGGAGGTGGGGCGGGTGGTGCGTGGCTAAAGGGGATCCGTCCTCTCTCCTCAAAAGGAGATCCACCCCTGCTCCACTCAAGGACCTTGCCGACAGCCAGCCCCCAGACACCACCTGTGAGCCATGGCACCGTGCGCCAGCCATGTGCCTTGCCGTGGCAACCTCATGTTCTGAGCCCCTGCTCCGAACCTTCACCTGGCTGAGACGACTCTTGCTGAAGTGTGTATTGATAACTTCAAGCAGAGCTGCGTATATTGTTGGATTCGTGAGATCGTGGAGAACACGGTAGGCGATAGCAAGTAAACTATTGCCAACCTAGAACTGGTATCAGAGCTTGGCGAACGGGCGTGTAGATCGCGGTGAATTCACTTGGTATGCTAAGTGAAATTAGTGGAGAAGAGGAGTCGTTCATGCCTACGCCATGGGAGACGAGGCGAGTTCGGGTTCCAGTGTGAGGCGGGTGATGGGAGCCGCGGAGACGGAACACGAGATGATCGACTACATCATTCAAGGGCTTCCTAAGGAGTGGGAATCCGACATCGGTATGTTTACACCAACCGCCGGAGAGTTTGACGAAGCTGCAGGAGATTCTGTAATCGCTTGAGACGGTGAAGGAGATGAAGAAAAAGAAAGCGGCAGCAGCAGCTAAGGAATTCGACGAGGAGAGGCCGGCTATGGTGAATGCAACGAAGGCGTTTGGAGCATGCTACCAGTGTGGAAAGAGGGGGCATAAGGCGATAAATTGCTACGAAAATCCGCGAAGCAGAAACTACAAGGGCAAAGCGGTGGACAACGATAAAGGACAAAATGGGGGAGCGGAGTGGCAGCAGAAACGAGGTTTTGGCGGCAAGTGCGACTATTGTGGGCGCTACGGGCATCGTGCCGCAGCGTGCTACTCCAATCCGAACAGCAGAAGCTACAAGGGTCCGTTGCAGCGGAGGAATGTGGCGGCAAAGGCGAATGTAGCGGAAGCGGATAAGGAGGATGTGATTTTGGGAGGAGCGCATCTTGCGAACGTGGTGCGTTTACCGAAGGATGTTCGCCAGACGGACGAACGTGAGAAGACGGCATGGTTCATCGACAGCGGATGTATGCGTCACATGACTTTCAGGTCAGATTGGATGGAGAACGTGAGGGAGTCGAGTGAGCGTTATATACTGCAAGGTAACAGTGGGAAGTTACCCATGAAAGGAGACGGTGACGTGGTGCTGCAGAGTCCGTATGGAGAGGTGAAACTGGAGAATGTACTGTCGGTTGAGAATTTAAAGGTGAATCTGGTGAGTCAGTCACAACTTGATGACATGGGGTGCAAGATATTTTATGACAGTGGTAAGGTTGCAGTGTTTGGTCCTGAGTGGGAGAAGTATACGGATGGTTACTTCAGTGACGGGTTCTATGAGATGAACTTGATAGCGATGAACGATAAAGATGAGATCTATGAGGATCCTGCGTACAGTGAGATGGGAGAATTGAATGAGTTATCCAATGAGGTTGAAAAGAGTGAGGACTCGAAGAATACGGGAGCAAGTGTGGAGGCAGCAGTGAAGCAGGAAGAGGAGATAGTCACCATGGAGGCAGCAGTGAATGGTGGAGATGAAGATGGTGTCAACACTTTTGCTGCAGCGATCGTGGTTGAAGACGAAGCAGTAAATGCGAAGTGTGAGGGCGTTGAAGCTGTGAAAGGGGACATCAAGGAGAAGGGATCAAAGGTGAATGCACCTGCAAAGGGACGAGTGCTGGTAAAAGAGGAACACGTTGAAGGGTACGAGACCCAAGAGGTGTTGGGTGTTGAGATGACGAGGAGAAGCGAGAGGCTCAAGAAAATCTCTCAAGGTTTGGATGTCAAGGCGCTCAACTTCAAGACACGTAAGCAGAAGTTCAAGGTGCATGAGCTGCAGGGGAGCGTGAAGCCGACATAGACCCAGTGAAGGCTACAAGAGCAGGGGAGCAGTGCGAGTGGTGTTTGTGGTTGACGAACCACAGGGGAGGTTGTTAGGGTTGGTTCGCCCAACCACGGAACCTACGACGAAACCTTTTACGACGGCGGAATGAAGGCGAAGGAAACATGTGGACTATTCTTGAGTGAAGCAGTGGAAATCGGCCTACGGTGTGAGAAGGGAGAGAGAAATCGAGAAGGAATGTGTGAGAAGGTGGAAGAAGCATCGAGATTGAGATCGGCGAGAAAAATTGTGGTTCAAGCTTGAGGAGTGTTCACCGAATTCGGTTCGGTTGAGTGTGCGACCCAGGGTTTATCGAGGCGAGCGCGAGATTGCTTGGGAAAGAAGTTACGTTACGAATCGCATTTTGTGTTTTGCCTGACTATAAAACTGCTTGTACTCATTCTGGAAAACACAACATTGATCAATTTGAGATTCTGAAAATTGTTGAAGTGTGTATTGACAACATCAAGCAGAGCTGCGCATATCGTTGGATTCGTGAGATTGTGGAGAACACGATAGGCGATAGCAAGTAGACTATTGCCAACCCAGAGAGGGGCGTGCGTGAGTTTCCCTCATGTGCACGCGGATTGGGCACACAGGCTGCTGAGGAGCGAGCTGGCAGAGGCAGAGAGGGGGAAGACAGCTATGGTGTTAGGGGAAGGCGTCGGGGGGCCTACAGTTACGGCAGGAGGGGCAGGAGGTCCATGGGTGAGTTGTGCTCGCCCACACATTCATACGTCACACATGCTGCTCAAGTTCCTCCATCCCATCTGCTGTTTCCTCACGCCTTCACATCCCACCACCATCTCACTCCCACCGCCATCTCACTCCCACCACCATTTCTCTCCCACCCAGCAACCCGCTCCTCACTCCCATCACTGCCTTTGCCATGCAGGAAAGGAAGCACGAGGACAGGCAGCTTGGCTGGAATCAAGATTTGCAGTCAAATAAGTAGGAGTCCTGCAACAAGGGGGATGATCTGGGAACAACCAGCCTCTTCCTCCCACCACCATCTCTGCCAGAGAATGAAGCCGGCTGTGGTCAGAAAGAGGCCCAAGCAGCCAGCCAGGCTGCAACCAAGGCTCGATACAGTCAAATGCAGAGTCATGCGAGGAGAAACACCAACAATACGAACCCATGTGGGCGGCGTTTTGGGTTGTGTGCTCCCTTCCTATATTACCGGTATATGTTCGAAGCGGTATGTGTTGTAGATTACAGAAGTGCACTGCACTAGCTAAATTCAAATGCGTGGTGCGTGAATTATTACCCACTGTTTTTTTTTTGCTTGGCAAGTGAGCTTGAAGAAATTGTTGACAAATCAATTGGGTTTTTTTTTTTTTTTTTTTTTTTTTAGCTTGTGTAACGAATCCTAAGGGTGAGTCCAGCGCGTACGTTTTCCGTACATTACAGTTCATCCTGTGCGGTAATCTGTATTGCGTCACGGTTCAAAACGGTGAAATTCCGAAACCGCTGTGCACCGTCTAATATCTTTTCAAACCACGACAGATGAACTGTATAGTACTTATAAACGTACGCGCTGGACCCGCCCTAATTTCATATTGTAGGCCTTACTTCAGCTTGCATGTTCCGAAGCGCTCGTGTCAGCTGGTTCTGCCTACATTGTCGCGCCGAACCACTTCCGAGTCGCCTCCGCACCTTTCGTCACACTTCCGAGCCTCGCTTACCCCGACCTCCTCGCCAAGCAAGAATCTGGGGAAAATATGCCATTCGTAACCATCATGGGACTCGATAACATGTTTGGTAAAAAAATAAAGGGTACGGTCACTGCAAAGGGTGTTTTCACGCGACTGATAATACGTTTCACGGAATCAGTCACTATCAACTGGTAAAAAAAAACGCGAATGGTAACAGATGATGTCATAATAGTAGGCATAAGCAGGAGCCATAGCTAGGGTTTACCTAGCTAGGCAAGAGAGACAAATAGGAAACCCTAAGGGGCTGTACTCACTACAGAGTACCCCACTGCAGGCTAGACAAGCATTATAATCTGACACACCCCCATAGTCAAAGTGGGGTATAATCAGCAGAGCAAGCAGTCATAGAGCAGGTTCACATGCACAAGTAAAGCTAGAGGCAGTCGCAGAGGGCAAGTGAGGAGGAGGAGTGACTGTGAGAGGAGAGGAGATGGGAGGCGACGGTGGAAGCTGCAGACACACAGGAGCGGCTGGCTCAGTGGCTACCGAAGCAATGGCCCGGACTACAGGAGTAACTGGCTCCGCGGAGATTGTAGCCTCCTGACTGGAGCAACTGACCCACAAGCGACTGGCGACTACCGGAGATTGTAGCCTCCGGACTGCTGGCGCTGCTGGCGACACGACTGCTGCCTCCGCTCAACTTCCCCCAACTGTCCCACCCCCTTTCACACACCCCTTGCTGCACCCCTAGCTCCACTCCCACGTCACCCCCTTAAACCCTAAACCCTCGGCTCCCACACACCCACCCCCCTCAGCGGCAGCTGCAGCAGTGGGAGACGGAGGAGGAGGAGGAGCAGGGGACGGCGCACAGAAACTGCACCCCCATACCCCCCACCCCCAAACCCTAATTCAGGAGAACGGGCAGCAGCAGGGGTGGGGCGCCGTCAGAAGCACGGGGGACAGCGGGCAGCTCAGGGGCAGAGAAGAACGGGCCGCCCACGGGCCTGGCACAGCCAGACGAGCCGCGCGCAGGCGGCCCGAGCCGCGCGCGGGCCTGGCGCAGCCCGTACGGGCCGCGCGCGGGTCTGGCGCAGCCCGTACGGGCCGCGCGCGGGCCTGGCGCAGTCCGTACGGGCCGCGCGCGGGCCGGGCGCAGCCCGTACGGGCCGCGCTCGGGGCTAGCGCAGCCCGCGCTGGCCGGGACGGGCGACCGGGGACGACGGGCTGGTCCCCGTCGCCCGTCGAAGCGCCCCCCGGGGGCGACGTGCGGACCGACGGGGCAGAAAGCCGCCGCGCGCCTCGGGGCGCACGGCGGGCAGAGAACCGCCGCACGCCCCGGGGCGCACGGCGGGCAGAAAACCGCCGCGCGCCTCGGGGCGCACGGCGGGCAGAAAACCGCCGCACGCTCCGAGCGCGCGGCGGGAAGAAAAATCCGTCGCACGCCACGGGGCGTGCAACACACAGGGTAGCAGTGGCAGCGGAAGCAGTGAGGTGGTGGGCCCATACACAGGAACGACCCAGGAGGGTCGACCTGCTCTGATAGCATGTCATAATAGTAGGCATAAGCAGGAGCCATAGCTAGGGTTTACCTAGCTAGGCAAGAGAGAAATGAGCAAAAGGATGGTTTGACTAGCAACAGTTGGGATACAAATAGGAAACCCTAAGGGGCTGTACTCACTACAGAGTACCCCACTGTAGGCTAGACAAGCATTATAATATGACAGATGAAACTCCCGCCCAAAATATATAATTCCCAATACGAACCTGGATGCATTTTCGGATGAATCAACCCTAAACACAATTCGCCAGGTGTTTAGGGTTGATCCGTTCCCAAACCGCATCCGATTCCGATTGGGTTTTAGTTTTCTTGAAGTAAAACGATTGGTTGTGCGCGAGCGGGAATTTCGAAGAGTTTCAAGAATTTCTGGCGGGAGTTACATGTGTGACCATTCGCGTGATTTTTTACCTGTTGTTAGTGACTGAATCCGTGACCCCACTTACCAAACCCGTCAGCAAACCCGATACAGTGACCGTACGCGTTAATTTTTTACCATTCACGTTATCGAGTCCCATGATGGTTACTTATGACATATTTTCCCAAGAATCTGCCTATTTGAGTTTACTCTGTAGTTTTCGGATTACAGCGCATTTCACTATTGTGAATCACGCGCTCTCATATCGAATCACGTATGTTTGGCCAAGAGGTGGCGAGACGCAACCTAGGCATACGTGATCCACCCCGTTGGACACGCTGGAGTCACGGGAGCCGTGTTAAAACCGGAGGGCCAAGAAGGCCCAAATTGCCTCAACCTTACTAACCTTGGTTGAGTTTGGCCCTCGCACCCAAAATCTTGGCCAATTGTGTTGCTCGCTCCAACCAAGCTTCCTAAGGTTGAAGACGTCCCAAGCAGATTACAACTTATTTTTGCATGGAGAGGGGGAGCAGCTGCTCTTGCTGCTGGTGTATGTCGACAACATACTACTGTTCTCACCTTCCATGGAGCAGATTGAGAGGACTCAGAAGCTGCTGATGGACAACTTCAAGTGCAAGATGCTGGGGGTTGTCCACTACTACTTGGGGCTGCAGATTGAGAGGGATGTTGAGAGGAGGTGGCTGAAGGTGCATCAGCCATAAAATACGCGCGTATTATAGCAAGTGTGAACAAACATATGAACCAGCGACCGGCTCGGAAGAACGTTGCAAGCGTGACAGATTAAGTGAAATTTGGCAGATGAAGCACCCAGTTTCGAATGGGGAAATGCCATGTCATATCTCTATAATACTCAAAAAACCGCCAACAGTTTTTTTCTGAAACGTGGCGTATACGTGGAACTTGAATTGCCGTATCTTAGAGTCGCCAATTTCAAAACTATTTCGCTGCAGCCAATGGTGTTGCATCGAGCTCAATATTGGTGTTGATCAATAGGCGAACAAAGTATTGCGCAGATGCGTCGTGGGAAGATCAATTTGAACGTATGTTTTATCACGGGACAATCTGATTGGCGTGAAACCCGTATCGCGGGAGGGAGCTTCACGCAGTGTTAATAAACAGAATGAACTTTCGAACATGTTGGAAAAAATGGTATCCAGTCTGTGAAAGCCGCATCACATGTCTTCTCCTACTTGTACAAGCACACACGTATGTGTCTAGTGCAATGCTATTGCTTCGTCAGACCGAACCGACCGACACGAGCGTGTCTGTGATTGGTCGACACCGTCGTTAAAATTCTGAGCGAGCAACGTGGATTGTTTACGAGGACGTCTGCTTGACATATTTCGCTAATGTGAACAGTCTTTTTGTCCCCTTAGAGATGTTCCGAGGG